GGTCGGACATTTGTGGGCAGGCGGGCGCAGTGGGCGTCCTGGTCGGTATGTTGCAGCTTATTAGGGCCCCAAAAGGGTATCTTTCTTGGAAAAGGCGCGAGTCAGAGCCTGCTCTGGGCGCCGAATTCTCTCCTGCCTAGGCGTATCAATCCTACATGTCCTGAGGATTTCTGTGCCATTTGCCTTTAATTGCTCCCAAAGATCGTTAGCGCCAGATTTCATCATGATTAGTAATACAGTAAATTTATGATTTCAATTAAAAAAGTAGTAAAATTTACAATGGTGCAATAAAACAACAAAGTAATATATTGCAACAAAATTACAAATCTAAATAATTATAACACATTACATATAGAGCAAAAAGCCAGAACTTTGAATTACTGGCTTATATGGAAGGAGCCGAAAAGATCGAAAGACAGATTCCGTTTCGTGGCAGTACCACCACTTTCGAATGCATAGGCGGATAAAATGGAATGTTGCAGGACCTCGGAAACGGAAAAGAAAGACTTCACTGATTGTGAGATGGGTGAGCAGGAGTATAGTGAGGATAGAAATGAACAAAAATGTTATCATTAAGAAAGCATCAAATTTCTTTGCTTTGTAATGAAGACTAAGGTCGGAAATCGGAAGGACCTTGTGAAATCTTGTATGTAATGGATGCATAGAATTTCTAAGACCAATAATAGGACAGGATTTAATATTGCACGATTTTTGCGAATTTTATTGGGCCGTTCTACTTTCCCAACGGTTTTGGTCGATTTCTTAATCGCGAGTCGATGTGTGGTTGTCTATAGGTTTCCTAACACGACACGCTCACTTATGATTGCAATCCGTACGAACAGCATTATTGGTTCACTTATCTAGGGCTGGAATGTAATACAAATAAATGCAGTACTAATGAGGATTGATCTGACATCCATAAAGTTAACATGTTCCGATTTTCGTCAGTATCTTGAGATCCCGAAGGGAATTAAGAGATAGATATTCGAGGAGGTTGATAGAAGCAGCTGCATTCTCGTCCGTTGCATTGTTCTCATCGACTGGTTCGTACTTCTACATTTTGTCATTTTGGTAGTCATATACACACGTGGTTTTTTGAGTGCAGTAGAGGGTGATATGGAGTGGCTTGTGATAGTCGCATGCGGGAAAGTGCGTGGGAATGGAGCTGTCTCGATTGCACGTTATCGTATTCTAGGTAGGGCGGGCGCCCTTATTTCAGAGAAAGATTACTCGGAAACCGGGAATAAGTGAGGCTGAAAGCTGTGGTAACTGGGTGAGCCAAGCGGCGGTCTGAGTATGGGAGCGTTGCGTACGCAGAACTATTTTAACGCCTTTCGAAAAGAGGTAAATTGTTCACTCTGGTTTAAATCAGTAAATTATGAAACAGTAGACGTGATAGCAGCGTTCGGAAATGGATAGTGGTAGGTGAATGTTAGGGACGACCGGAGAGTTAGAGTGTGGGCGGGAAATGAGCCGTTTCAATTTGCGACAATGTTGTAATAAGGTCGATGAGCAGATCATGATGTCATTTAGCACGAAAGTGAGATCTCATCATCAGAAATAATATCGTCCGCAGACGAGATGCACTTCACGACTGATTAATTTAATAGGACAATTGTCGGAGTTAAGTGAAGCGAATAAAAAGTCAAGTTAGCAACGATCAAAAGAAAGTACCGAGCTAGGCACTATGTTACTCTTGCAGTGTGATGCGCGGCGTCTCCGATGCGCATGTTACTTGCAATACTGAATCTCTGTTCGGTTGCTGAGATCTGTTTCCCTGCAAAAGGTTAGTGTTGGTCTCCCTACGCACGAGAGGCATTTATGATATAGAGATTAGGAGCAAAAAGTTAATTTATGGGCGCGTTGCCCCTTTGAGCGATCAGTTGCGTAATATCCTTTTCTTGCCTTGCTCAGAGAGATGTCCCTTCTGGAGGGAAAACCATACGCATGTCTATGACCCACGTAGAGCAGGAGGGCGGTCGTTAAGTCGAGATCCTGGGGCTTAGTGGAGGGCAAATGGTTAGGGAAAGTGGAACAACCGTTAAGGACTGGTCCGCAGATAGGACCCGCAATAATTGTGATTAGTATTCCGCAGAGCGAGGGCAGCTGGTCGGCGAAACAGGATTATAGAGAGGTAAGGCACGCAGAAGAGAATATGGGAAAGATTTGGAGAGGTGCGCGTGTTGGGGGAAGGGGGAATCGTCCGATAACGTCTCCTCTTCTTTGAGCACGTATCGGGGGTGTAGTAGCCGAGACCCTCTTCGGAGGGAGGGGTCGTACTGACACAACCATTCACAGCATCGACGGGATGCTTACCGGCTGCCTAAGCCGTTTCCAAATCCCGGTCACGGATCCTTGCGACGCTGTTCGCTGAGTGGTGTGGAGTGAACTTGTGACGAACTAAAGGTTGAAACTGGCCGCTTTCGGAAATAATTTTCCAGCGTTTGTTTGTCAAAGTCGCCACGGAAAAGTGGGTACGCGATTGGGTGTTGTTTGTATCTGTTTTGTGTGTCTACTCTGAGGATCCTCCCAACGTTCACGACTCCCGCTCACTGCTTTGGGAAAGATAATGTGTGAATGAAGTAATGCAAGATGGAATGCGGTGGGCACAACGAGATGGTGCTGGGAACAAAGATTGTAGGAGCTCGTGCTTAGGTTGACTAGTCACCTTGAGCTCAAGTCAAGTAGCCGGCAAATAACAGCGAAATGAGCGAAATCAACTTCAGCAAGCAAGGGCTAACGAAAACAGCTCCGCTTGTCTTGATCGTCAACAGTGTCACTAACCAAGTGGGCAGAAACCGGATGGTGGCAGAGCCAAGTGTATGAACGCAATACTTGATAGCTACTTAACCGCGACGTGCACTTTACTCGCGCAACTCTACCGCTTACCTAATTGTTACTGTAAATGGTCGAAGTTTCGGAGATAAACTATGTAAAATATCGATAGGCAGGAAATCTCGGTTGAGGAGCGCTACTCTGCAGTCGAGGCACCGCGCATACTAACAGAATATTTCCTACCTAGTTGGCTACACAGAGAGCTAGTCGAATCGAGAGGCGCAGAGATAACTGCCGCGCCGCAGCACTGCTACGTTGTGTGGGTTGGGTCCTGATGCGAATTTTTCGTACGTCATACCGTTTGAAAGCCCATTCCACAGCGTTCGCTGCGACTCGGGGTTAACGCTCTGCACCCAAAAATCTAATGGCGAAATACTAAGGAACTGGTGTTCCTGTGGACGAAAGCTATAGGCAGAAGTTTCGAGACCTAGTGAAATGCTCTCTAACAATGAGAACGGGATCTAATAAAGCGAAAAATTAGAGCAATAGAAATTCTGCCAGGAAATTCTGTATGCAGCCCTGAACAAAGCCACTGTTGCGATCAGCAGTATTCCTGCTGCTAATGAGCCAGTCCTAAATGTCCAGCACAGGACGAGACGAAGCTGATCAAACACCGTCGTCTGCATACCTCATGATCGATTAGCACTGCATCATTACTGAAGTCAAGATGAAGAAGCATGATGTATAAAGACGTGTAAATACTAAATACTGCAGAACCAGGGTACAGTACCGTTGGGAGAACCTATCAAGGGAGCGCTGCTGGTCGCTGTGGGATTGTATTCGGCTTAAAGGTGCGGTCCGCAATCAGATATAGAAGTTGAAAATATGATGTCGGAAATGGAAGTGAGGTCACCGACGAACAACGTTGTACCAGTTTCGCTGCGAAACAGTTGTATGGTGAGGGGCGCTATAGCGCAATATAGGTTCAGTGACGCCTCCTTTTCTCCAGTGACTCCGCCTCCAGACTCCGCCTTCAAGGCCACTTTCAGTGAAAAACGAAGCTGCAGGACGAAAAGCATGGAAATCGTCACTTGTACGGTCGTAGAGTTCTTATCGGGGAATCAGCTGTGCTGCAAGGGCGTAGTATTGGAGATGGAGTTTATCGGGCACGTACAAACTGGGATCGAAATGGGGTTCTATCTAGGGCAGTTAACATGTTTTTTCTGCTTTTTTTCCTCCCTATCAAGCTACTCAGAACCTTGTGGTCTGCATGCAACGCTAATCCACTGGGATGGCGGATGACCGCGGGCTGTGCTTCCAGGAAAAGCTGCATAGAATCGAAAAATTCTTGGAAATTTGAGAAAACTGGCAGAGATTAGACATAATTTGATGGTATGGTACGTAGAATAAGGAAGGTGGAGGATCTCGGTCCCCTATCCGGCGCACAGCCGCACAGCCTAAGTACTGTTTAAGGTATTTGAAACATGCAGTTTATTGGCAATGGGTTTGGCGCAGCGCCAGCCCATTTTTTCCTTTCTTTCCGGCAAGCGAGAAGGCTGTATCATTACTTCATACGTTTTCACGATTACTGTGACTGACGTACCTTAGCAAGCGGTGGAGTTGTTGACACACCGCGTCATACATACCGACTAAGAGTCTATATTTTTCTGCATAGTTCCTCAAGAAATACAGAGGTGGGGTAGGGACTTCCAAGGTTGAGCCGCGGAATGCGCCGTGCTTTCAACTTCCTTTGATGAGAGCCATATATTCTGAGCAATTACTGGCTGATGCTGGCCAACTGTGATGGAGAGAGTCCCTTTTTAGTAATTCAAACATGTATCGTTAACCGCGAAAATTCAACTTTTGGAAATCTGAGTAGCTTGGCATCATTCCAATATATTCCGGTTCTGAAAGAAACGATTCCGCAAGGTAGAGTTATTGAACGTGCGAAGAAGGATAATCACAAACGCGCTCCACCGCTAATTGTGGAACCGTCTGGATTTCGCAATTCAAACAATCATCCTCCTCCTCAACCTTATAATCGGTACATATCTAATATTCGGCGATTTCGCCGATTGTCACGAACTGTGAACGAAATCTCAGCTCGTAGTGGAAATGTGAAGGCTTTTGATGCCACCACAGGCAGAAACTCAAGAAATTGCAAGGAGACACTCGCTCTCTCTTTCCTCACACACGAGCCACCCAAAACGAAAATAATAAACGTACTATGGTTGCGTGACTTTTTCGATTTTGCTGACACTTTTTGTCCTCTTCAACGGTATACCTCTGAATGGACGCGAGAAGAACTGCTGAAATGGCGACAGTTTTGGAAAGTACTTCAAAGTGATTGGCAAAGTACTGATTTATAGTTGACAACGTCGCGATCAGTTCGGACGGTGTCAGACTCAGCGTAGTGATCCCGCCTTCGGTGCCTTGTTGCTAATGTTGATCGATAATTGGTTAATCTGGAAACGAAACTGCTAGTGGTGGAAACGCCGTGAGTGGGCTCACTACATCCCTCTTGCAGCCGCTCCGACTGATTGCGATGATATCAACTGCAGTTGTATATTTTTTAGTGCTTTCTGACAGGCAAAACTTGAATAAGGTGACACAGCGCTACTCCAGTAAGATGGAGCATATTAGTAAGAAAAGCGAAAAAGTCTGGTTCAGTAGGAAACGATTATGGGGCAGGAGTGATGATTATTTCGCCTAAGCCAGGTGGACCAGTTCGTCATTGGTGACTTTGAATGTTTGGCTGCGTGCCAAAACGGGGCTGTTTGGCGGCTTTGCGCCAAGAAATCCCCAACCTGCGGAACAGCGCCTCAATGAAATCACTTTCAACACTTACAGTATGAATACAAGATGAATACCAGAACGCTCAAAAAATTTCCAGGGAAGAGTATGAAATGAAATCCACAGCAACAAGAAATTTAAGGACTTAACGACCGTGAGTTTTTACACGAAGCACCACAAAAAGGAACAAAGGCAATGGGAATACTGATCAGAACACTTACCGAGCAAGGGATTTGAGGACTTTCTGAGCAGGGCATTACTGAAAGCTACCTTCCATAACTACCTAACTAGAGCAATCCTGTTCGTGAATAAGGTGTTGCCGTCCGCAATCGCATAGAATGTGCCCATTTCACGGTTCGAGGGAGGCTGACAAGGGCGTAAGTGATGTCGTATTCCGCAGAATAAGCAAAACCTACCTTTCCGCTATGAGATGGGCGCAGCTGCAATTGAGGAAAGCTGAAGCTAAGCACGTCATCGTGTGGAATGATCCCAACGGGTTCGTATCCGGCCTCGCGAATTCTTTTAATTCTTGAATTCCCCTTTTCAGAAGCGCCACCTAGCCCCTCTCCCCACCCCTGACGCGGTGGCGCGACAACGTCTGCTCGTCTGCGTTCTCCCTACAATAGTGATGCTTTGCAAATGTCAATTCGAAGCGGCCAAGACGACTAAGCTTTTACTACTGTAACGTTTTCAGCTATAAGACAACAACATACACAGTAAAAAAATCAAAAACAAAAAGGGCACTACTAACCCCTAATTGCTCCCACATTCAGAATTCAGGATATTTTTAACAGAGGGCAGATTGGCAAAAAACTTGTGCTCAGGGGTAGTTTCACCCAATAAACACGAACATCACGCTTGGTATGAAACTGCTAGGCGCCCGCGCTGTAGGCGCTGGCATCACGTGCGTGTTTCAACTCCGGCGCATGTAGCACAGAATCCTGGCGGTTTCCTGCGAAGCAGGCATGATGTTTACGTTCGAGTGGTCAAACAACCTATGGAAATCAGTTTCCGGACAAATCGAAGGTTTGGCGAACTTTGAAATTGGGTTCAAATAGCGCGGAAATTAGCAGAATTCTAAGAAACTAACCGCCAGCCTTTGCGTACTGGTAGAGCTTGGATCGGCATCGATCTGAAATAATCTGAAATATAATCAGTGTGTATGCATCATGTAATTGAATTGGTTGAAAATATATGAAAATCGTTTCGGAAGCAATTCTTTACATGGACTTCAAAAGGACTGCATGCGATTGCTTGGAGGGCGAAGCCCAACGTACAGCAGATCCTTTCAGCCCTGATTCCCTGCGCCCTTGCGATGAGAACTACAAGAAATTTGCAGGAAGATAAAGTTTCGGGAAGCTACAAGAACGTGCGCCATTAATTCATCCCAATTGGGCAAGTTTTTAGTGGATATAGTCGGCGAATAAGGTGCATAAAATGAAATTCAAAAGCAGAAAGTGGCATCCGTTAATACATTATTATATTGGTGACGTCAGAGCAACTCTGATAGGGGAACGTTCAAGAGACTCCTTGTGCAAAACGAGGATCACCGTAGTGTGGAATGCCTTTTTTGGAGGTAGCCTTTTGAAGATGAAGGAAATCCTGAAAAGTTGAACCCCATTTTTGCACGAGAGTCATCTGAAGTTCCACGCGGACTTGGGAATGGGACCATAACCCATGCTCATACGGCTCAATCCGAACTTAATCGAAATCGCAGTGATCTGGTCCCGAACCGACCCAGGATTCTGAAGCTTCGACATTGAGGACACGCGGAACATTATGTTCAGAAATCTGGGTTTCATGAAACTGAGCCACGATTTTTATTTTGGGTTTCATGAACCTGAGCCACGATTTTTATATCTTTTCTAGATGAAGATATAGAATCGAGGCTCAAGCTCAAGTTAGCAGGTTTCGCTGCAGACACTGGGCGTGAGAAGTGGGTTGAGTTTGGCGTGTTGCCAGCTCGTTCTCCAGTAATTAAACGGGAAGGCGACAGCAATTGGTGGAAAACAGGCTGGCACCACGCCAAACCCAGACTCTTGACATGTTCCAGAGTCTGCAGAGAAAAAGGGGGCTTATGTGTTCCGCAATAATCATTTGAGCGGATCACTTGAACCTCGAAGTCATTTTTGTTGGCGAGTTCCAATTCTATAAAAAGGTAGGGGCACACCCTTGAAGAAGACCCAAAGGTGGTGACTCCGCCCCTGTGTTCCGCGTGGAATGTGCATTTCATTCTGGTCACCTCCACAACAGACTGCATCATCAACTATTGAGAGGTCAACTTGGTGAGAAATCCTCGAATCCTGTTCCACGTTATTCTAGGAGCAAAGGGGTAAAAAATCAAATGTCAGTAGCGACCGAATTTTTTTTCACGGCGGGTTACCTTGCATAACGAAATTCGAAGACGCTTTCAGGGAGGAGAAATGCCGCCCATCTCTCTAGTGCGGTTCTCACTGCAGCGCCTTATATGATCTACTAAAAAAGGCCTACGGACAACTAAAACTCAATCCCTTTAATGGCGCCAACTTTGTTTTTTCTCTGCGCTCTCTTGCCTGAATGGCGATTTATGGCCACTTTGACCTT